GGGGGGAGGGGGTGGTTTGCGGCTGTGGGCGTGTGTGGATGGTTCGTGTACCCACCCGTTCTTCTACGAGTCTGGCTTTGAGCTCCTTAATCTGGTGCTCGGCATCGCGGAGCTGACGCGTGATGGCCTGCGGTGCGGTGGAGAGCGGGAGGCATATCCATCAGATACTTTTGAAGGAGGGTGCGTCGTGTGTGTGGGTGTGTTGGGCCCACCTGCACTTCTCGCTTGCTACATCCCAACTCGTGACGACACAACCGAAGATCCTCTGCGGCAAACAGCATGGATACATACATGGATGGATGGACGGACGGACGGACGCCGTTCTCCCTCCCTCCCTCTGTCCCCTGCCTGTGTGTTGTGTTCGGTTCTCACCCGTGAGCTTGACGACGGCCTGCTGGAGTATGGGGCACTGCGGGGACTGCCATATCCCATTCGCACCCTTGGGCGAACCTCCATCGCCACCCCTACCCTCACCCCAGGCCTCTCGGACGGCCGCACCGTCGCTCATGATCTGATGCTTCCTGTGCCCACGTGGCCGAGCGACTTATTTATGTTGGTGTTGCCGTGCTGCGGTGGCCGAGCACCGTCATGGGAACGCGAGAAAACGGCGCCAGCGATGAGAGGAAAAAGGCCAAGATCAAGATCTGGCCCGGAAACAACCCTGGCCGCAACCGTGAAGGTTTTACGGAGAATTCGGTGTGGATTTGCTGTTAGAATCGTACGGGAGACGATGGACACGGGCTTATTGAATCGCAAGGAGCTCACCGACAAGCAGGTGAGGGGGCTTCTGTCCGGGGAGGGGCGTGGGTGTGCAAGTGTTGCCGCCCGTCTGTGTGTGTGTGCGTATGCGTTGCAGAAGAAGGAGATAAAGGCGGTGTTCGACCACTACGACACGAGCAAGGATGGGAAGCTGTCCCTCCCGGAGATGGAGAAGGCCATGAAGAAGGCCCTCGAGGGGGACAACGTGAGCCCAGAAGAAATCGCGCAAATCGTAGACGGTACACACAGACACACGTGCCTGCACACTACACGTGCCACGCCTCTCTCTGTGCGGTCGGTCGGTCGGTCGGCAGATTTGGATGAGAATGGTGACCGTGAGTTGGACTATGAGGAGTTCTTCAACGCCATGAAGAGGAAGATGCTGGGACTCGAGAGCGAAGACGACGTACTCCAGGCATTCCAACTCATCGACAAGGACAAGTCAGTCAGGCGCATTGTCATCCCATACACAGACACACAGACACACACGGGCCAAACCGAGGGGAGGGAGGGAGGGAGAGGAGGGGGCCGCTCTGTTTGTGTTGTGTGCGGCGGTGTCCTGCAGGAACGGTTTCATATCGCCGCCTGAGCTGCGGCATCTGCTCACGACCCTCGGACGCAATCCACTCACACAAGGTGAATTGATTGACTCCACACAGCGAAAACGACGAGACGAGATGGAAGCACAGATACACACATCCATCGTCGCCGAATGTATACAACTGTCGGTTGGTTTGTGGTGCATACCAGACGAGGTGGATGAGTTGATCCATTTGGCGGACAAGGACGGCGACGGGCTCATCAACTTCGACGAGTTCTTCGCATCGTAGGCTCACCGAACACACGCTCATGGACAGAATCGCACAAGCACATTAATTAGCTGGTGTGTTGCCTGTTGTGTGCGTGTGTATGTCCGTATGTGTTGGTGTGGTGCAGGTTGGCGGGGGAGAAGCCAGGGGTGTAGGAGACGGTGGGTGCAGCCGTCCGTCGCCGTGCATGCGACTGTGTAGAGGGAGGGGATATGCAGACCTGCTTACCTGATCTTGACAAAGTGGGTGTTAGCGGGGCTGGTTACGGTGTTTGCCCCTCCCTTGCTGTTTGTGCGTGATTGGATGTGTTGAGAGAGCTGTTGCCAAGGCGACTACGGAGCTGGATCGATGGTGCCTCCTAAGTAGAGGATATCGTCTATCTGAATCCCCAGTGGCTTTGGTTATTGCTCTCGACACATCCAAATCACAACAACACTCCATAGCTATCCGCGTGTGTGACACATTCGCTTGGTGGCTGGTTGGGTGTGAGGGGCGTGGAGGGATGGTGGCAGTTTTCCACATTCAGCCCGTATCTTGCTTGCCTGTTGGCTTGCTGCTTCCTTGCACGTGTGTGTGTGTGTGTCCATATGTACGTTGCCGGCTCTTCAGTGTGGATATATACGACAGACAGACTGTGTTTCGTGGTGCGGTGTGGTGTGGTGCGGTATGCGTGTGTTGTAACGACTTGCCTTGCTGCCCGATACATACGCTGAACGCGTCGATGTCTGTCTGGGTGGCTGGTTGGTTGCTGGGTTGGCTTGAAACCGACACGAAAAAAAACAAAGTACACGCTTCTCATATTCATATCACCACACCACACCACAGCACAGCACACAAAGGGGTCCTGGTTGGTACACGGAGTCACCCACCCCCCCACCCACTGGTGGGTCAAAAACGGCTGAAGGCATGCAGGTAGAAGGGCGACGACAGCAGCGGGGCAAAAGTGACACAAGCAAGCAAAGGAGGAATGCACATTTATGCAGTCAAGTCATCAGTCTCACCAGCAGCCGCATCACGTCCCTCGCACACGCAGACAAAACTCCACTCACGCACCATTGACATTCTCTGGCACCGACCGACAACAGACGACAGACGACCGACGGCTCCCGCTCGCTTTAAAACGACGCTCACCACGCGTGAGTGACCCGTGACGAAATGACCATTGAAAGCGCCCCCTTCCCGTCCATCTCTCTCTCTCTCTCTCTCTCTCGCGACCCTTTTCTCTGTCTCTCTCCGTCTGTCGCGATGAAAAATACAGTACTTACACAAGACAAGATCGGCGACAACCAGAGAGACGATACTAGGTAGGTGGTCGGGGGGAGGTGGGGAGAGGGGAGGAGAAGGACGGCATATATCACTCATTGGCCACGACGGCTCAAGGATAGACAGCTAAGGTACAGCGTGGCGGCGCCATCCTCCCCCTCCCCCTTCCCCCCGTCCCCTTCTTTCTTCTTAACTAAGTTATCCACTGCCTACGTACGCATCACAGCCAGCAACAAACGAATTACGCTACACCTGCCTGGCACCTGCACGTGTGTGGGTGTCCCGCGAGCGACCGATCGTCACTGGAGGGACCGTCGCCGTATCGGTAACCTCTCTCTCTCAGTCAGTCAGCAGCAGGTGAAAAATCAAGCCCATCGGTCTAGGCCGGTCGAGGCACTTGTACACACACAAACTTACACGCCGGATGCATAGATAGGATGGATACACGTGTACTCATTACTTACACACACGAGGTAGGTCCACTTCCCCTCATCCAAGGTTGCTGGCCAGCGACACGACACCGACAAGAGGTTGTGGCAGTCATCACAACCTCTTGTGGGTATCGTGCTGCTGCCTCACCGAGAACAAGGGGCAGGTACCACACCATCAACAACACTGGACAGCCATTTCGCCCACAGGCGGGTGCATTCTTTCCTTGCTCTCCTCGCGCTTCCAGCGATCGCTGGCGTCCGGAAGAGGAAGCCTATGGATGAGAGGACGTCGGTTCTTGGCGTCTCTCATCCATAGTTTTCCGCCCCCTGACTACAGCCACCGCCCAACAGCGCGGAGAGCAACCACCTAGCAGCAAGAGAGAGGCAAAAGGAAGCAAAAAATGTCAGTCGCGACGCAATATCCCACCCACGCGCCATCGAGACAAAGCGAGACCGTCATCACAGCAGTCACTCGTGCGTGCTCAGACGACCAGGCCTAACAGAGTTGCTGGACAAGAAGACAGTATGGCAGCTAGGGCCAGCAGCACATCCATCTGCCCGCCCACCCACCTCGTTTGGACTGCTCCTCTCAGCACACACGCATCTTTACCACACCATCCATCCATCCCGCCGTCACACTCAGACACATGCCTATGGCCTACACACCTAGTGAGCGACACGCCGCAGTGAGTGCCCCGCCCCGCCCCCTTGTTTTGTGTCGTCCACTACAGCAGGAGCTGGTTGAATCTGGCCCTGGCTGTCTTGATGCTGTATGGCGGCGGGTTGTGGGGCGCGGCGTACCCACGAGACTCCAGCTCTATCATGTTCACCTGCGCGCACACCCCCATCACATCAAAACATCCATCCATCCATCCATATGACGCCAGCACGCAATGCATTACAATGGATGTGTCGTCTCCGGCCTCCTCACCTCCATCTCTCTCGTGCACATAAACGCATCCGCATCCTCGCCAATGTCCTTCTTGTCTCCCTCTGCAGTACCAGCAGCAGCAGCGGCAGCGGCGGACGGCCTCTCATCGCCCTTGTCTCCCTTGAGCACTATGTCGGTCAGCTTCTTGGCCAACACCACCGGGCTCTCATCGCCCACCCCCGTCTCACCATGCAGCGACACAGCCAGCGACAGACCGGGCGACGGGCGGAATGGCATGGGCATCTGAGGCACCAGGCTGCGTGTGGATGTGGCCTTGTCGTCTGTTGGTGGTGTGGATGGAGGCGTCGGGAGGGGCTTGAGGTCTTTGGCGAGACGCCGCAGCCACGCCCCGATGACACGCTCATGGCGGACGGTCGTCCAGATGATCTGAGGGAGGGATGACAGCACAAAATAACGGATGGCCACACTCACATATCCACACATTCACGTGTTCGTGTACTGACCTGTCGGCCCCTGGCGAGGCAGTGCAGAAGCGCCAGGTACAGCAGATCTGAGAACGTCCGCTGCAGAGGGTGGAGATTCCGCCGTGCTTCAGCGTCGCACGCGTCCTCCAGGTTGAAACCCATCAACTCATCAAATGCCTGGATTGCAGACACAGACAAGACAGGACAGAGGGAGTGGACACCCTGTGGCGTTCGTCGGCCACAGTTCCTTCCCTTACCAGGAAGGGCGAGTCAGCTTCGTTGAGATACAGCAGGATTCGCAACAACACCTCCATCTCAGGGGACGAACCTACAACAAACCAAGAACGCACACAGAAGGAATCAATCAGCGGTCCTGCCACAAGCCATTCATTCCACCGTCCTGTCCTGTGTTTGGTCCCACTCACTCACCCGCTGTGGTCCGATATTCAACAGGCCGGTATCGCATCCCCCCGCTCGGCCGATACTCAAACCGCAGATGCTGACCACCACGTCCACCCCCAGCGCCGCCCCTGCCATCACCCCCCTCCTCCTCGCCCTCGACCGACACCTTGAATGACGGAATGCCCGCCACTCCCAGGTCGCCAGGGCCCAGCCCGCTGCCCATGAAGGGCACCAACGGCGCGTCGCCAGCTGCTATGGGGCTTGCTCCCGTCTTGAGCCTCTCGGCCAACGAGAGGGACGAGAATGGGCGAGCCGACGACGCACTGGCAGACGCGGATGACGGCGAGGGTGGGTGGGGACGCAGGACTCCGTCTGCATGGGGCTGTTTGTGGGAGGGCGAGTTGTCGCGCTGTGCCTGCATCTTGGCCCGGTAGCTGGTGACGAGCGCATTGAGCGCCTCCATGTTCCGCGACGCCACCTGGGTTGACTGGTGGTCACGATGGCATCTGAGTGCCTCGTCACTCATGCGCCCCTTGCGCATGGGGGGGAGGGGGAGGGAGGGGACGGGTGGGGGGGCGGGTGCAGAGGACGGGGCAGAAGGGGGGGAGAGGCTGGGTGGCGGTGGGGGCGGCGGGGCGCTCTGGTTGATCAGCTGGGTCGCCCCGAAGAATGTGCGGGGGATGTTGGTCGACCACTGGTGTCGTATCAGGTTCCTCCACCCGTCCGTGCCCAGCAGGCTGAGCCATTTCTGGATGTCCGCGTCCACCGTGGATATCACCACTCGGTCCAGCGGCACCGACTGCGGAAGCGACGAGCCGTTGGCCACGCGCTTAAGTCGTGTTGCGCCCTGGCCCAGGTTGACTGCCAGCTGTCGGGTGAGGAAGGGGCGGGTGCTCGTCAGCTGCACGGTGAGGGAGAGGGAGAAGCGGTGACCGGACATGTCGGCTGCAGGGGCGAAGCGGATCGTGATGCTGCCGGACTGGGCACCAGACCTGAGTCCACACACAAGGTATACAAACAGAAAGGCCTGCAGCGGTGATTATTCCGATTGTGTGTCTGGTCTGGTGGGCACGGCCGTACCTGAGGACGGCGAATGACGGCATGTCCTCCATGACCTGCAGAGCCGTGGATATGGTGAGGATGATGGACGTCTTGCCCGTCCCGTTGCCGCCGCGGATCACGTTGAGGTTGGGGGAGAAGAGGATGCGCTCCTTGAAGAAGCACAGGCAGTTCTCCAGCGACAGCTCGGCAAGCCGCAGCTTCCTCTTGCGAAGCGTGTCCTCGATCAACAACCGCTGCAGCGGCGATACGTGAACCTGTAGCAGCAGAGCAGCACACAGTAGGGAGAATGATTCAGTGCTGTTGTGGTCTCCTTGGCCTACGCACACGCACCAGGTTGAGCCATGCCCAGTCTTGCAGCCTCGTGAGTCGGTGGAGGGCCTGTTGAGCTCCGTGGTCGACCAGCGAGAGGACTGTGTGGCATGAGGACCTCAGCGGCATCACCTCGGCGTAGTCCATGAGCCGTGTGCCGATGATGTAGTGCCAAACATCATCGCTGAGGTCCAGAAAGACCCGCGGCATCCTGCGATTCTACGGAAGGCGTCACAAAGGCTGCGCTATGCTAGACGTACGCTCCAGGACACAATGACGTAGCTCATCCCCGCCTCCCGTCATTTGCGAGCTCAAACTGCGAGCTAATCTTGCAGACGTCCCCCCCCCTTTTCCTCTCTTTTTGCAGTGCTCGTCGTCATCTTTGGTCTCCACTAGATCTCCTCCGCCTCTTTCTTCTTCTCTCCGCTTCGCCCTTTTGCCCTCAGCGTGATGGCGAAGAGGCTGGACTATGTCGTGAAGGTGGAGATATTCGAGGTCCAGGATCTACGATGGACGCCCAAGCGCAGCAATGTGGCCCGCTCGGAGATGCCGAACCCAATGGTGGAGGTCACTGTGGCCGGTGAGACAGACACTGCACTGCAGAGATGCCACTGCAATGCTTATTGACTCACACCTGTCCTGCAGGGGAGACGCGGGCCACGCCTCGGAAGAAGTCAACGGCGTCGTGTCCTTTCCAGCAGACATTTCTGTTTAGTAATGTGTCGCTGGATCGGGCGGAGTTCCAGCGGCCTGGCATCGAGATCAAGGTGCTTCACGCCACCTTCTTCAAACAGGAGATGATCGGCATGTAGGCGCTGGCTGAGACGGGAAGGGGAATGGAGGGTATGTATGGTTCTGTGGCTTTCTGTCGTGCTGGTGCAGGTACAGCTTTTCGTATGAAATGATCTACAGGCAGAACGAGCACTTCCTGTCGCGGCAATGGGTTGCTCTCGCCCAGCCCGACAGACCGTCAGAGCCGAAGGGATTCCTCAAAGTGTCTCTCGGTAGCTCTACTCACACAACACAGATGTTGCCATGCCTCTGCATGGGCGTCTTGGTGCAGGTGTGTTTGGCCCAGGCGATCAGATGCCGACGGACGAGGCGGGCGAGATGGAAGACGACTCGGGCAAGTCGATGATGGACCGAGTGCTGGCCACGCCAGAGCTGAGAATGACGTATTACCACCTGTGCGTCAATGTACACAAGTATGACGGTCAGACAAACCGAGAGACGCAACGAAGAACATTCTGTTGTTGCTTGCAGAGGTCAGGACATTGCCTGGATGGCTAGTGATGAGCGGCGCCGTGAAGCAAAGCATCAGTATTGGGACCCTTTCGTGACGGTTCGCTTCCTGGGTGTCAACCTGTCGACGGAGGTGTTTCGCAATACTCAGCATCCCAACTTCAATCAGACCATCAAGCTGCCAGCCGTGAGTGAGGGCCGCCATATGAGACACACTGTCACAAAAAGACCATCGCATGCCAAGCCGTCCTATTCCTCCGTATCAGGTGGTGCCGTGTATGGAGAACACCATCCAGGTCGAAGTGTGGGATTTTGAGGAGTCAGGCAAGCATAACCTGATCGGAAAGACAACTCTCGGGTACTCTCATTCGTTTGTTCGTATCCATAGCCCAGACACCATGTAATGCTGTGTTTGTGCTCCGTCTTGCCCGCAGCTTCTCGGAGATAGTAAAACAGGCTTTGGAGCCGCGATGGGTCAACTTCTACTGGCACCCGCCGGCCGAAGGCTTCCTCAAGTAGAGGCAAGTGCCGGCCTGCCCGTCTTGGGCAATCACCCTTGTCCTGTGTCAGGAAGGTTGCCGGCATGATGAGCGCGGCTCGGAGGGAGCCTACAAGCTACGGCGGGAGAATCCTAATATCAGCATCGGTCCAAAAGATGGCCAGCCCGACACGTGAGGCCAACACCGTGCCGAGAATTTCGGCTGGATCCTCTTCTTGACTTGTTTACTGTACTGTCCAGCTGAGGTGGTGAAGTGTGCGCCAGTGACGGAGCCCGAGCTGCAGGAATACGAGCTGTGGGTGGACTTGTATGAGGTCTCGGGGGTGGCCGTGGGGGGGAACCTGCCCACCGAAGTGCAGGTATGGAGAGAAAATGAGGCTGTCTTGCATTCTTCAGGTTCTGTGCATGAATGTTTGTGCAGGTCGAGGTTCAGATAGGGCCGAAGGTGATTCGTCTGCCGGCTTTGAAGGAGCGATCGGGTGCATTCATATTCAAAGACAAAGACGTAAGTCAGCACATCCAGTTGTGACTGACTATGGTTGACGTCAGTTGTTCGCCGTCTCAGGGTCGCATGGAAGCCGAGAAGCTCTTTCTCCCCGAGCCCTCAATGTCCTATGATCTCATCATCAATCTATACACAAAGGTGCTCGATCGACCAGCCCTTGTCTCATGTCTTCATGCTTTTTACTCGCTCTCTTCTCTCTTGTTTCCATTCGTCAGGGCATTTGGGGCCTTCAGTCGGAGGAGACGGCGTACGTGACGCTGCCGGTCCGACAGATGATGCAGGCCAACTTCAAGCCGAGATGGTATTCACTCAAGCCTGTGCGGAGCACCACAGACGACGTGCAGAAGACGGGCGGCTTCCTTCTTGCCTCGTGCATATGCATTCCGGCCAGCCAGGTACGTGTGTGCGGTCAGTCGACGAAAGGCTGACGGTATGTACTGCGGTTGCAGATTGCTGCCCGGCCACGGAAGCCACGAATGGAGTACCGTCTATCACGCTATGTTTGCAGGTTCGTCGGTTCTACGTAGCTAGGATCAGCAGTGTCGAGGCGATTTCCTTCCTTGCAACTGTCCAGGACTTTTCTATATCAAGCTGTGAACCTCCCCATCTCTGATGTGGACGGTCTGTCGGACCCATATGTCAAGGTTTCCCTCGCTGGGGAGTCTCGCATGACGAAAGTCATCAAGCAGGCACTCATGCCGTGCTGGTTTGAGGCGCTAGAGTTCGAGCTGTCACTGCCCGAGAATTTGGCCCTCGCCCCCGACCTGCTGCTGGAAGTCTATGACTGCGACTGGATTGGGAGCGATGAGCTGCTGGGGTCGCTGCGATATCCCTTAAACAAGATCCCGAAGGAGTGGCTGGACGATCCAAAATGGTCTGCCCGTGACGGCTCCGTTTTAAGCGCCGAGATGTGTGTGTCCGTGTACGTTTCTCGGCATTACATGTTTAGGTTCGACATCGAGGGTGAACAAACTCAAGCAATCAGGGCCAAGATACTGTGTTCATTTGAGCTGGTGCCCAAGAAGGAGATCGACAGCTACCCATTTTGCGCCGACATCAGCCCGCGCAGCAAATTCTGCACTGTGGACCTCTTTGTCATGGGTGAGCCGACTGAGAGATGCATGAGCACATATTCCAACTGCGTCTGGGTGTGCCTTTCAGGTGTTCGCCTTCACAGCTCCGTGGTCACACCACAGTCACAGCCTTTGGTTGAGGTCTGCTATGGAAGGTCAGCTGCTATGGAAGGTCATGTCGACTAAGGTGATATGTTTGTGTCTCCTCCGCTTCCGTCAGAGATTCCAAGAAGACCGAGGAGCCTCTATGGGCCGACGCGACCACCGAGCCCGAGGAGGGAGCGGGTGGTAAGTACAATTACCTCGAGACCATGGAGATCGAAGTCGATCTCTACAAGAACCCAATATATCAGGTGGGTCGTTCACAGCGAGACAACGCGACAGGTGTGTCACAGGTTTCGTGTGACGTATAGAGCAACCTGGAGGTGACAGTGCTGGACAGGGCGGCGTTTGGCCACGTCGAAATAGGCCACGCATACATCCATCTCAACCCCTTCTACCCGTGACTCACAGAAGAGCAGAGAAGAGATGTAAGCATAACCGCTGCTGCATTGGTGGGTGAGACATGCATCCACTTTCCTCTTGTCGCAGCTGCGGGATGACTTTCGCCACTTGACCTCACACGAGATCCATGAGATCGAGAAGCGAATGGCTTGCAATGAGATATCTCGCGCCTCCATCTTTCGCACCAGACAAAGACGCTCCACAGTCATGTCCTTTGTAAGAAATGCAACACATGGAGACGCAACCCCCGTCAAGCCTGTTGTCGATCCTCCTGCAGACGGCAGAGGCCGACAGTGATGAAGAAACGGTAACAGGCGACACCACCTACTGCTGCACTTCCCTCTTCACTGCTCTTTTCTTTCCAGCAGGAGGGCACCATCGAAGCCCTTCGAGCTCGCGACCCCACCCTACAGATTCCCCTCGAAAACCCCGCCATGCTGAACCAGCATTCATACCACATTGACCACTTCGAGGCCGTCTTCCCAGACAACCAAATGCCGGACTTCGGCATCACATCCGCACTCGCCGATGATTTAGCCGACTTCGAGTGGCGTGTGGACGATGACACGGCCATCGCTGACGACCGGCCGGAAATGACATGCGAGCTGGAGCGCGACCTCGATGCAAATGAGCTGCCGTATACGACGGTGCCGATATTCAAGGCCAATGTGATTGGAGAGCCGGAGACAGTGGGGTACCTCAAGTTCATCTGCCAGGTCGTGCCAGAGGGGATGAGAAGGTGGGCAGAAGGCGTACAACTCACGGAAGGCTTGTCAATCCTTCCTCGGCTGGTCCTTTTATCAGAGATAAGTCTAAGATCGAAGATCTGAAGAATGCTATTGAGGAGGCCAAGAACCTCACTGTCCGTGTATACGCTTTATCAGCACACAGCCTCCTGGCCCGCAGCGCCGTGAGAGACCCAAGGTGAGACGAAAGGATGAGTAGCAATGGGATCGATTGCTTGTCTGCCTGCTTGTCAGGGCTTATCTATGGCTGACGAACGGCCCAGAGCACTTGGAGGGCTTCCACACGGTCCGCGATTCAAGCAACGCAGTGCTTTCAAGAAATCCAGAGTTCAACAAATGCTACCAGCTCGACTGCTTTTTCCCAGAGTGCACACTTCTCAGCGTCTCTGTCATGAATAGGTAAGCAACAAAGCCCGCCCTCGCGCACGTATTCTGCTGATTGGCGCTTCTGTGTTCACAGGACGTCGGGCTCCCTCGCCGACGAGGCCATCGGCCGCACATTGATAGACCTGGAGGATCGGTGGTTCCACCCACGGTGGAGACAGCTGATGCAGAGCGACAAACAGATACCCATAGAAGAGCGGCAGCTCCTCACAGACGGGTCATTACTCAGCCACGGCACCTTTCGCGGCTGGTGTGAGGTGCTCACAGCTGAAGATGCGCAGCTTAGGTGACACCCGACAGGACACAAAGAAAGACGGCTGATGAATGTGTGCGCTTCTTGGGTTGTTGCCGAAGGCCTGTGGAGAGTTTGATGTCTCAGGAGGCAGAGCCCTTCCAAATACGAATCGTTGTGTGGAAATGCAGGGTGAGGCGAGCCCGATTTGTCACACCCGATGGCCATGCCTGGGTGCCTTGTGCCATCAGAACATCCCCCTGGACAGCCAGAAGACTGTGTCCGTGTTCGTACGGGGCATTTTCACCAATGACGACGGCAAGACAGTCGATCAAGACACCGACACACACTGGAACTCGCAGGCAAGATGAGACACACCGGCCGCCCTCGCAAGCAATCGGCTTTATCTCATTGCATTCAGGATGGGACCGCGACCTTCAATTGGCGGTTCGTCTTCATGGTCGACGTGCCGCCGAAATTTCCTACACTCAAGTTCCAAGTGAGAGACACAGCCAGAGAGAGACTGGTGACTTGTCATCCTTCTGTATCGGTCGCCAGGTGTGGAATCGCAATATAATCTCAGCAAACGACGCCCTGAGCGAGTGCACAGTGGATCTCGGCGGCGACCTGCTCAAGGTCAAGGGGACCGTGGTTTCTCGTGGAGCATGGCTACTTGTTGCCGCGTGTCTGCCAGGCCCGAAAACGGAAAGACATAGTCAAGCTGCCTCAGGCGTGGCTGCGCATGACCCATCCGGCCTACCCACAGCAGGCGAGAGGGGATGTTCACGTTGAGATCTCGATTGTCCCGAAGCTCATGGTAGGCACGGAGACACAGCGAGTTGAGCGCACTAATGCCCGTGTACGTGCAGGCAACCCAGTCCCCAGTTGGCAAAGGTCGCGAGGAGCCAAACAAAGACCCACACCTGCCCGCAGTCAGTAAAGCGACGCCTCCCCCCCCCCAACCCTGATCAATGTGTCTTCCTTTCCTTCTTATTTACTTACACTCTCATCAGGTGACGGAGAATCGCCAATATATCACCACCACAGGATTCGCCCTCAGAATGTCGGACTATGCCAAAGAGGTAAACTCATCACGACAGCCCATGCAGCAGGTCCACGTCCCTCTCTCTCTCTGTCTATGTGATTAGGCGGAAAAGCGTTGGAAGCGTATGATGATGTCGATGCTGGCGGCTGTGCTGGTGCTGGCCATCATTTTGCAACAGTACATGCTGGATTTGCCCAAGACTGTCGTCATTGTGGAGCTCTGTGGAGTGGCATTGCTCGTCCTGTACATAGTGTTCTTCATGAGGTGATGCCGTGTGCCTGCCTGTCTGTACGTGTGTGTGCGTGACGCGACTGACGTGCGTGAGACGGAGACTTTTCACTTGTATTGTTCAAACTCTTGGGAGCAAACAGACTCTGGAGGGAAGACCATCAGTAATTTTACGGATGGCGACGAGACATCACGACTTTTTTGGCTATATTTGAATCCGGCCGCAATCCCTCCCGCCCCCATACAAGGCAGCTTCTCGGGACAGCACTCGTCCTTGTCCTTCGCCCGCCCCTCCACCGTGCGGACAGACAGTCGCGGTTGCCGTATCGAGCACAATGCTTCCTCGTAGCGTTGAACAATTATCAACGATGGTACGTAAGCGGTTATTCAGGAATGTCCACGAACATTTGTGTGTATGGTGCAGGTGTCAGAGATTCGAGGCGAGGGAGGCGAAGTCACGTCAGGGCCCTGCATCTATCAGTTGCCGCAGCCACCGGGCGGACCTCATGAAGAAGGACGGGATTCTGTCCCCGCCCCCTCTATGTGCTGAAAACGCCATTCGGATCCTGAACTCCCTGGGTCACGATGAGCAATCTATGAGATCAAGGTGGGAATCCCCTATCGATCAGGCGGCCGAGATTGCCAAGGAGGCTCCTCACATTACACTTGGCTCGCATGTGCTATCGGCGAGAGAGCAGCGTCAAGCCAGGCAACTCATCAACTTCTGCGAAGATTCATCGACGCCGTTACCGCCCAGACCACCCACACCACAGTCAGCCAACCCCCCCCCCCCCCCC